AAGAGACTTGAAATTTAAAAGAAAGAGAGCTAAATTCAAAAGAGAGAGAAGAAAGAGACTTGAAATTAAAAGAGAGAGAACTAAGAGAGAATTTAATTGTATTTAATTGAGGATAGAGTTAATCATATTTGATTGAGAGCGAAGTCAATTATTATAAGTGCAATTTTGATTCAAAAGTTCGAATAATTATACTTCAATTATGATTGGTTGGTTTCAATTGTTGTTAAGTTCAATTCAATTCAAAAAGTGCAGATAATTATATTTAATTATGGTTGGTTGCTTTCAATTGTTGTTGAGTTCAATTCAATTCAAAAAGTGCAGATAATTATATTTAATTATGGTTGGTTGCTTTCAATTATTAAAAGTTCACTTCAGTTTGAGAAAATTTCAATGATTTACTTTAATTATAGTTGACTGATTTCAATTATGATTGTAGTTAATTTGTCTCAACCAATTCAAGAATTAATTTTATTTATAACTGATTGAATTCAATTGTTCATTATTTCATTGTTTAATTGTTGAAGGTAATTTATTTGTTTATTCTTCTATTGTTTAATTGTTGAAGGTAATTCAATTGTTTATTGTTTTATTGTTTAATTGTTGAAGGTAATTTCTGGTTTAATGAATCAGTTAATTCAATCAATGACGAATTATATTGAAAACAGCGATGATTTATATTGAAGTGAAATAATTGATTATTTTAAATTGAGGTTGAAATGAAATGTAATAATTATTTGTTTTGAATCGAGGTTGAATGAGATGATACGTGACTGTATTACATCAAGATAGTGTTTAATAATAATAATCTCTTTTTAATTAAATTGGATTTACTTAACTATGAAGTTTTAATCGGTCTTTCCTTTTACAGAATTGTATGGATGTTTCTTAAATTAACCAGGAAAATTTCTACCTTAGATGAAACTACTGAGTATAGATTATGCAGAAAAAAGCACCTTGGAATTTCATTCGTTAATTCATTTCAATTCTGATTATTGAATCAACTGTCTAATATTTAACAATTAAAACTCCGCACCAAATGAATTTATTTAATGTCAAAAGTTCAAATGAATGAACATTCAGGTCGATAGTGCAAAAATGATAAATGAAATTTATCATGGTTGTAGAAGTTTAAGATATTAATTGAATGGACTAAACAGAATTATATTATATTTTGTTGCACGTATCACTTCAAATTTGATTGATTATGTTTATTTTAAATGATTAGGATAAAAAATGATTATAATTGAAATACTTATCTTTTCAGTGGCCAAAATTCTTCTCCAGTAATTGACTTCTGTTTTGATTCAATTTGTTATTTCCAAATTAATAGTCGAGTTTGTGTTGATTGATTTATTCAATATGCTGATTTTTATCAATTGTGATCTTTTAATTATTAATAATTTTGTTTTATTACAGCCCAATTAACCTAACCTAACCTTCTGACCAGGTTATTACAATCACCACACTTTTATTTAGTTGAATAAAGTTCACTTTAACCTTCCACAAGGTTCAAATGTTTTATATGAAATACACGTAAGGTTGAACAGGTTGGGTTGTAATTACGTGTAACTTTTGATATAGTATGTATCACCTATTTAAATAGTACAGTAATTATTAAACATTAAAACATTAACTCTTTTCTTAAAGAAAACAATCACCATAAATTCACTATGGTTTTTTTGTTGAACTGATGTTTAAGCCCAAGTCATTTACTTAAATCACAAAGAAACTTATCATTATAACAATATATTACTTCACATTAAATGTAATTAAGCACATTAACTAATCCCCGTAAGGGTGCCAATGATGTAGGAAAACACTTAGTTTAAAATGTATTTATTATCAACACAATGTTGGGTAACTTTACCCCGAGTTTCCATAAGGAAAATGGCTGAAAAACGGCCATTATATTGGTGATGATGGAGATTTTCTTCTCCCTCATCTCCTTCATCTTCAACAAAATTTATCCAATCAGATTAACCAGGTACCACGTGAGAGGTGGTACCTGGTTAAACAAAGAGAACTGGTTTGAAGACCAGTTTTGTTACACTATTAAGAACAGTCTCTGTTCGAAACTTGGATCCATGTTTTTCCTCTACATATTAAATTTCTGAGCTCATCTCCTATCGGAAATTCTTTCTTCTCCTCTTTCAAGGTTACATATTTACGGTATAATTTTAGGGTATAACTGGAATCGGATTCAGGACTATGACCACTGATTGGTCTATCATGATCATGTCTCTTTGAACCAGTCGTTCCAGGAAAGAAAAAATCAACAGCTGATATACCCTTTGTATCTATAGCAAAGGTTTAGGTGGTAACCCAATAGGTTGCATTTTCTCTAGGATATCATCGGGTGGGATTAAACCTGGTGACTGCCAGAAAGCTCGATTAAATTGGTCTCGCATAGGCTTAGTTTTCTGTTGCCTTTTATGCTTCTTATAGTTGAATGAGCTGACAGTATTTACTGTAGAAGTTTGAGCTTCATTTGGTTTTAACCAAGGACAATTTGCTATATGGTGACCTAACTTAAAGCAGGCGGAACATGAATTACAATTCATCATGTTATGATCTGGACGGAAGCAAATGGAGCAATGATTTTTATCTAACATTCTCCAAGTAGTTTCTGGAGGTAAGCAATTTCTTAAGAGATTTATCGCAACCTTTAAATTATTCTCACTTGAGGTGGAGATTGTAACTTTAGCAAAAGCTCTATGTTTAATTTGGGTCGATTGAAATGTTGCTTGTTTAACTTTTAGTCTATCTAAAATAGGAGTACCATAATTATTAAAAACTGTTCGAAGGAAGCTTGTAGCGATCATAAAATAAGCTAAATGATTGAAAGTATCTTTCCTGCATCGACTGGTTTCAGGTTCGGGAGATTGATTAGGAATATTAGTTTCATTAATTGGGGGGTTTTGGGAAAACTTATGAATAATATTGGGAACGTCATTCCAATCATTAGATCCTGGTATCGGTCTTGGAATTGTATTTGCCACCAATTCAGGGATCTCGCCATTCTTTCTCATTGCTTTTCGTTTATTTCGTTGAGCACGTTTTTCGGCCTCGAACTTTTCTGAAGCTCTTTTAACACTGGCTAAATGTCGAGCCAAAGCTCTGTTATCTGCCTCCTCTTGTTCCTCTAAAAACATCTGATTAAAAATAAAATAATAAAAAAGAAGAGATTAATATGGAATAATATAATTAATAAAGGGAACTCAGTGGTAAAGTTTCTGGTGAATTCATTTCATTATCATCAAATGAATTTTTTGATGTTGATGGTAAATAAGTGGCCACAACGACAGGTTTGGATAAGAGAGCCTTAAAAAACTTAAGGATTAAAGTTAATAGGATTGTGATTGCCATGATTGATAAGATTAATGTGATCGCTTCCTTTTTCAATTCATCAAACCATGAGAGATGTTTTTCTGGTGTTTTTAGTTCGTTTTTTGCTGTTTCAAGAATCGATATTTTAGTTGGTTCGAGTCTGATTACATCACTCTCATTAGGTACAAGTTTCCAATTTATTTTACTTGACCATGAAGTCACTTTTTCTGTTTTAAATTCGGCCATATTTGAAACTTGATATGTCTCATTATTTAATTGAAAGGGTAGATCACTTGGTAATTTAAGAACTCGATTTGGGCAAGATTTCGTGAGATTGAAGAGAGTTAGGTTGTGACCTGGACAGTAGATGAATATCTCATTATTTACCACCTTAACTTGTGGTCTTTTCATGACCAAGCTTTAAAAATTTCTAGTTTTCAAAAAATTCTTCAAATGACCTTCAAGTGCGTTCTTTCACGAATAACCTTTATGACCTTGACCTTGATATATGACAATTGAGTATCGGCCAAACTTCCTTAGACAATATATGGGCCCTATCGGTCAAGTAGTTTTTGAGTAATCGTGAAAAGAAAACCAACAAATACGCTGAATTGCTTGTATAGAATATAAGTCCTTCAAATGATTGATAACCTGTCAAGCCTCTTTTGTTTTCCAAACAAGTTTCAGTTGAAATGATACGTCATAATTACCATCTGACTAATTTCAACTCTACAAGGCTATTAATCTATTTTCGCCGATGTTTTTTGCGATTTTCTCAACAACTAAGAGTCAAAGAGACTCAAGACTTGAGTAGTATGAGTTTAAGCGATACTCAATTGTCATATACAAAGATCAAGGTCATTCAGGTCACGTGTAAAATAACGTGTTTCAAGGTCATTTGAAGGCATTACCATGAAAAAGTATGTGTGAAAACACCAATATAAAATTTTCAGGCTCTACATACAGATTTATTGAAAAATTGTTCGATAGATGTCAGTATTGATTAGGTAACTATGATAGTGATCATACTGAATAGGCAAATAGAACATTTTAGAATACTTACAACACCATCCTCCATCATTTTTAAAATTAACCAAAAATGTTTTCCGACTCATTGGATCATGGCCTTTCATAAAATATACACATACATATGTACATGATCATAGTGTTTTAAAATCAGCGCGGTTGGCTGTGCGCCAGTACAAAATTATGTTATCCACAAATAATGACATGATTGCATTAAATTTGCACAAATGGTCGCAAGCTTTTCCGGTATTTGACTCATTCATGATTTGCGCTATTGGTGCCATGCGCAGGGAGCTAAATTCAATATTGCGTTTGATTGTTTGTGTTGAGAAGAGGATATTGAATAATCAATCATAAACTAGATTTGTAAAAATGCGATAATCATCAAAGCCCAGCTTCAAAAGGATTGTAACTCATGTAAACTAGTATCACTAATCATCTATTATTTGATCTCCTTATCATCTTTCGCTAACACCTTGAACATTATTAACTGTTAGTAGCTTATAGCATACAGATTAGTTACAATTAATGATAATAAAATCCCCAGATCGCAATTTTTGAAACTCATGCCAAGTAGTATTACTATTTACAAGGCGTTCCAACGGGTACCGCAAAATTCAAATTACTGTAACTTTTCTTAGAGAGCTCTAATTGCAATGATTTTTCTTTATTTTTTCAGCGCTGAACGCACACCAAACGAGAATTTTCTTCGGATGAAGATTACGTGTCAGGAAACCATCCGGTTTTACTTTCCCGCAGAACCTGTAGTTCTGTTTATTGAGTCCTCCTTCAAGAGTGAACCAAGACTCATCTGAGAACCAAATCTTATGAGGGTTGATCTCCTTTTGATGGAGCTTTTCTATCATTGATTGGGCAAACTCAAATCTCCTTTCTTCATGATCTGGGTTAAAATCCTGAAGATATTGGATTTTATATGCGCTCAATTCAAGCTCTTTCATGATTCGGAAGAGACTTGTTTTGGAAATATTGAGTCTCTGAGCTGCAACACGAACACTAGCATTAGGCTCCGCAGTAAAGAATTCATCAACTAGTGCACGCGTTTCTTCATTATCTATGGATTTTGTTGCAGTTTTCCTGGACTCTCTATCATCAGCAACCGACCCGGTTCTTCTCCATTTCTCAAAACACCTATAAAATGTAAAGATTTAGAAAAAAATACCAAAAGCCTAAAAATGAAAAAAAATTCTTACGTTTTTATGGTCCTTTCCTGGGGTAAATCTCGGGTTCTAAATTCTTTGGAATAGTCTCGCAGAACTGCTTTCACGTTCATTTTGTTCGAAACCATAGATTCGATCCTAAAAATTCTGTGGTTTATACCAAACTTAGACATTTTCACCGAAAAAAAATTTTTCAAAACAATAGTTAAATGATTTTCCACAATGCGAGAATCATAACAAATTGAACAATCTAACTGCAACCTTCGATATGGAAATTCTACTGAGTCGATAATTCTGCTCGTAAAAGGGATTTTACGAGGATGGCGTCCGGATAATGTCATAATAACTTTGTCCAGGTACTAAAACTGGTTTGATACCTGGCCAAGTACCTTATCTGCCCCTTTAATTTTTCCCCTCTCTCTCTCTTCCTCTTCCCTTGCCATCCGCCATCTTGATGGCAGTTGAGTGGCACCTTTATGGCGCTGATTTCAATCAAGTCTTTTCATATTATATCTTATGCAAAGTTCTAATTAATTAATTAATTAATTAAATAATTGATGTAAGTTTTGATTGTGATTACTCTTAAATTATAAGTTTTATAATTTTTTTCGGTGTTATAGCGATTGTCCATGTCAAGGGAAAGAAAGAGAAAGGAAAGTAAAAAGGGGGAAGGAACAAAGATGATTTGTGCCAGAGGCGGTGGCTTTGCCCCTACTTGCTTTGTCAATTATTGTGTTTCGAGTTTAATTTAAATTTTCGTTTGAATAAGCCAACGTTTATTGTTTTCTCTCTCACCTTATCCACTTTTATTCATTATCAATCATCTAATCATTCGTTTACTTTAATATTAATTTTGTGACAATATTAGATTAGATGATAAAAAGTGATTGATTCTGGTGGTCAATATTGTATTTAATTATCACTTTCTTTCTAAATCGTATTAACAATTAAGAAGTGATTAAAGTAGAAGCGACACTAATTTTTAGTCAACCTAATAATTAACCTTCATTAAAATACAATGTATAACGAATAACGTTTTAAAAGAACTCTACTAAAAGATTGCAACTTAAAATCATATTTAGCAAGGAACAAATTGAATAACATTACTAGATACTCAAACATATTTTCATCTCAATGGGTCTTCATCTTAATAAAAATGAGAGATTTATTGAATTATCGATCATAGAATTCAGGATGAAGCTCATTATATCAGCTCGAAGTAGAAAGTTTACATGGTTAGTGAAACTTTAGCTGAAAATGAAAAAGTCAAATCAATGAATTGATCAATTACAAAGAATTGCTGAAAGTAAGATTGTTAAATAAACAATTTAATCGATTAAATTGTACTTGCAGAAAACGATTGCTCGTCGAAAAGGTTAAATAGTAAACAAAAATGAGATGAATATTAATAGTATCTAAATATTGGAACTAATGAAGAAATTATATTAACTTACTACTCTTAGATTCTCTAATTAACCAACTCAAACTGAATCTGAAGTCTGATCAAATGATTGGAAAAGTTTTACGAACAAAGCAAATACAATGATAACAACAATCAAGCCAAAAGAAATTCATTTAACCAACAATTACGGCAATTCATTTGGCCCTAAAGAAATTGAAATGTTATCAACGAAAAATTTAATTACTCCATTCACGATTAGTTCAATGTATTCAATTGTTGATTTCTTGAAGTTCAGTTATTTCCCATTTCTATCTGGACGATTCAAAATTATCTCAATTTTTTATGTTTCACTTTTTTCCTTGGTTACCTTGGGTCATGATGCTTTCATGCTGTTCAGCATTTTACCTCCATTTGATTTCTGTAATTTAATTTGCTTCACCCAAATTCATGTGGTCACTGTAATATTAGGTGATTTGATGATGGTTATATTGATGTTCATTGTTCTTTTCGCTAAAATTGATTACTCTGAATATGAAGTTTCTTGGAAGTTAATTGGACTTTCACTAGCCAATGAGTTGATTGCAAACGAAATTAAATCAACCAAGAAAGACACAAAATTATTCATCGCAATTTATTCATTCTTTTGGCTTTTAACTTCTCCTTTCTGTCTTTACATGAACTTATCTTCACATCATCCATTCGGATTGCTTCAGATGACCATTGAGATGAGTCACATAATCGCCTACGGGATTATTGCAATTCTTGTTTTTATCAAGATGCACACGATATTTACATCTTCCTCCCTGATAAAAGTTACTTTCCGTGCTATCGGGCATTGTATCGAAACTCATCCAGAAGTTACCTGGAACCTTGAAAGTTTACAATATTATCGGCGGATGTACACACAGACCATCGAACTGACCAATACTGCCAACAGAATTTGGTCCTTTTATCTCAGTTTCATGTACCCTTCGTTCAATATCATGGGACTACTATTGTTATATACGATGGTCTCTTCTGGCTATGATCCATGGCGATACTTTATCCTTGGGTCAACTTCAATCGCTCTATTTTGGACTCTAAGTTTTCTCAACAAATACATCATCGGAATAAATACCGAAGCTGCTGCTCTTCATGATATCGTTTACAGAAAAAGTTTACTCGATCTTGATGAGAGATATATGTTAGAGGTTCGAACATGTTATCAAGAATTTAATTCCTCCCATTTACGAGATTAGCAATAGTTTCGATTCACTTTTTTGTTAGATTTAAACTTAATTTTACTTTAAAACTGACTAAATCATCAATCATCTCTATGGGAAAGGTAATCAAATTTTAATTGAAATAGTTAACTAATTTAGTTTTTATCTGATTAATAGGCTTTACTCTTCCTCGAGCGGATTGCACGTGAAGATGTTGGATATAAATTACATGGGAAATTTGTCTTCAGTCCAACTTTAATGGCATCAATGGTGACCCTCGGTGTAACAATTGTAATCGCTTTTCCCTCTTTTATAACAATTAAACTATAATATTAATTGTAAATGATGGAATCGATATCGGAAAATTTTTACCTCCATTTCATGATAAATGTTTAACTAAATGTTTCTCATTCACTTTTTTCACTTAATCTTAACATAATCAGAATATTTTCCTTGTGTTCTTATTGATTGATTTAAATCCATTAAATGTATCTACTATTAATTGATTGATTAAATTGATTTTATTAATAATGTTTAAGACTAGAGTAAGATTATTTTGCTGAAGCAAAAGAAAGACCTGTCCCGATTTTTGGCGCATGTGTGATTTATTCAATTTATAGTTATTGCTTTAGCTAAAAGGTTTACTACACGTTTTTTTGTCTTTACTGTTAATCAATTAAATAAGTATTCAACTAAAATTAATTATAAATTTTAATTAGTGGTTTTAATTTTCGTTCACCAGCTCCTCTTCTCTATCTCTATCTCTTTCCTTTACCTTTTCTTGTCTTTTCCTCTCTTTTCACCTTCGTATTGTTTTTCTTCCTTGAAAAGCAATACGAACTCTTTCTTTCTCTCTTCTTTCTTCTTTATTTCCTTTTCTCATTTTTGAATTAACCGCAAAACTGATTCCTTATCTATTTTTGAAAATTTTTATCAAAAAAGTTAATTTTATCTCAAATAGATAAGAAAAAGCACTAAAATGTTATAAGATCAGACGAAAGAATGTGATTTCTAAACAATATAATACCCCTGTCCCTACGGGCCAGGTCGAAAAAAACAATAATTGATTTTCAAATCGATGTTAAAATCAAAGTATCGATTTTTGGTAGTCTCCATTTTCGATTTAAAATCGATTACCATCACATGGTATTTATTTTGGTTGGAAAATTATTTTGATTAAATTAAATTTCTTCTTGTTTGGTGATTCCAATTTAATTGGTATGAATAAATTTGCCAGGACTCAACAATGGTGTACATTTGCCCGACGTTGGCTTCTGTATGATGCCAAATGGCAAGATGCCTTTTACTCAGCTGATTTGGTCGCTGGTTATTTGAAAGGACAATTCAAACCAATTTATGATACCAATTTTGATACCGACGTGGGTGATGTTGTTGTTGTAATTAATACCAAAGGTAATTAAGTGAATGCTGATTGAATCTTGACCTGTTCATCGTATTTGTATAATGATTTTCTTCTTTTCTTAGAAATTTCTATGCCCCATGGAGAATGGAAATGGAGAACTTATCATCACCATTCGCATTATGGTAAAGGAGCGGTAACTTGGGCTTCTGCTTGGGATTTACACCAAAAAGATCCGACAATTATTCTCTATAAGGCTGTTTACAAAGCGTTACGAGGAGGTGAACATAATCCTTTCAGAGAAAATCAAATGGCTAAATTGTATCTCTTCCCAGATGATCAAGTGCCCAAACATATAATGGAAAACATTTGTGATCAGATTAGGCAACTAAATCCTATTCCTAAAATTAGTGGTAAAATTGATCCGAAAGAATTGAAAGAATACCCGAAAATCATTGATTATCCTGAAGATTATGTTCTCAAATAATGTGAATACTTGAACTGGATCAATTTAATTACTTAGTCTCTTATATATATTAATGAGTTATAAATTTTTTCTTCTTTATTATCAAGTAAAAAGTTAGAAAGTTTGTTCCAAATTTTTAGCTTTCAATTTTATCGAATTAACAATTTTTCTTCACAGAAAATTGTTCATTGTAAACAAAATCAATATGGTTCTATTTCTTAAAGAGCCAAAGCGGGAAGAACGACACCTCGACATTGACCGAAGCCGATCTTGATTCCATCTCTCTCACAGAATCCTGATAAGATGATTTCGTCTCCATCTTGTATGAATTTCCTTTGACTTCCATCGGGCAAAGTTATTGGTTTAGATCCTCTCCAGGTTATCTCCAACATGGATCCATAAGATTCGGGTTCTGGTCCACTAATCGTTCCCGAAGCCAATAGATCACCTGGATTAACATTACATCCAGTGATTGTTTGATGAGCCAATTGTTGTTTCATACTCCAGTACATATGACGGAAATTTGTATTCGAAATGGTTATTGGTTCACCGTTTTGTGGTTTCAATTGAACATTCAAATTTATATCAAGTCCAAAGTCATTTTTATCTTTAAGATAATTAAGCGGCTCGGGTTCTTGTTTATACATTTCAACTTTGAATGGTTCAAGTGCTTCCATTGGTACGACCCATGGACTTATGGTTGTCCCAAAGTTTTTAGACAGAAAAGGTCCCAATGGTACGTATTCCCATTTTTGGATGTCACGAGCGGACCAATCGTTCATCAAAACCATGCCGAAAATGTGATCTTGAGCTTCAACAATTGGAATTGGTTGACCAAGTTGATTAGCGGTGTTACCAACAAAAAAGGCCATTTCCAATTCAAAGTCAAGTAAACGACAAGGACCGAAACCTGGTTTACTTTCATCGTCATTCTTGGTTTGACCATTTGGCCTTCGAATCGGTGTTTCTGAGACAACTATTGAAGACGCTCGACCATGATAACCAACGGGAATATGTCGCCAATTGGGCATCAGCGCATTCTCTTTACCTCTGAACATTATACCGACATTAGTTGCATGATAAATTGATGAATAAAAATCAGTGTAATCACCGATTGTCGCTGGTAAATGCATAGTGGCCTCTTTTTGTTCAACCAAGGCCGTTCTACGAAGACACAGATCATTTTCCAAGGACTTATCTTTACCCGATAAAAGATCTTGAATCTTGACTCGTACTTGATGCCATTCAGATGGAGACAAACTCATGAAGTCATTTAAAGTTGATTTGGTTAAAACATGTTCACCAGATTTAATCAACTTCTCAAAATTGAAAAGATGATGGACAACTTTAAGGTCAAGAATATGATCTCCAATGGCCACACCGATCCGATGAGTTGACTAAGGATAATTGAGAAGGAAAAATTGATCATGATAATAATTTGATTGAACGGGAATTAAATTGTTTTACTTACATTATTACTCGTTGAGAAAACACCATAAGGTAAATTGTCAATTGTAAACTGACTTGTTGCTGGAATTGGAACCCAAGACATTGTTAATTGTTCACAATTAGTCCTTGACAAAATGACTTCTCTTAAACCACAGATTATTATTAACTGATACTTGTTTTTTACTTTCTCTTTAAATATAAATGCTTATGATCTGATACTTTGTATCTAATCAACAATTTAACAATCAGTCAGTTAATCAGGTTTATCTTTGATGATCTTTTCAAGTATATTGAGAAAATACGATAATAATATTAATATTTTCCTTCGTTATGTTTAATCTATCGGATTCAACCTTGAATATTTTTCACTAATTCCATACAAACAATTTAATTCATTTCCAGTTACCAAGTTAATCAACACATTAATAAGAATCATCCAATTAACAGATCATTCCATTAGCTTCAAACTATTTTAACAGAACCATTTTCTCTCCAACCGCTAACTAATTAAACCACAATCAGCTGTAATTATTGATGGGGAAAAAAGAAATATAGTTTTAATTTAAATAAAATCGACAAAATGTTTCAATTAATGCGAAAAATTAATAAAAAAAAGTTAAATTAATCGATTTCTAAATTATTAGTAACCATGGTTACCACTGAGGATAAAGTGTGTTAAATAGTCAACGTGCTTTTTTGTTTACATCTGAGTTTCTAATTTCTGCTTTAATCTCAATGCTTTTGTTTATTTTTGTGATTTGGTTTCTTAAATTGTTATTTAAACTCTACTATTGATTGAACAATTAATTAAATTAGTTAATATTATGTCTCATGCAAATGTGAACGGCGATTCTGGTAAGTGATAGATTAACTAATTCTTGGTGAAGTGAATCAGTTTTTAAATTGCTTCTTTGTCGATAGTAAGAGTCTTTTCCTTAGCACATGTTTTATCACATTTTCTCATGTTTTTTTTTGTTTTTTTTTCTTCCTTGTTTCTAGTTTTGGATTCTGGCTTGGAATTACTTCAGCAATCTAATGGAATGATAAAAAAGACGAAAAGAAATTTACAAGAATCTGGTGATGTCGTTCAAAAGAAGAAGAAAAAGAAATCTAATCAAACAATCAAAAAGTTTGTTCATCATGTTTGTTCACCGATAAGTAATGAGAAACGTCGTAAAGCCGTGGCCGCAATTCTGGCACCGACTCATAATTTTAATCAATCAGAATTAGAAGATCTATGGAAAGGAATGTTCTTTGCTGTTTGGTACACGGAGGTTACTAAATGTGAGGAGATTCTTCATGACATTGCTTATAATTGTCGCTATCAGAATGAGAAAGATTATCTGATTACTGGTTTCAAATTATTGGCTCGAGAATGGATGGGAATTGATTTCTTTCGAGTTGATAAATATGCTTTACTGGTCAGACATATGATTAATCGTAGTTTAAGAGTGGCCATTTTTGATAGTGAACCGAGAGATTTTAATTTTCTGAATGAAATTTTCATTGCTTCCGATGAATCTGTTGAAATGTTGGCCCATATTCTTGAAGTTTATATTGAGGAGCTTCAAAATGTTACCATGAGACAAGTTATTTGGGATCCAAACGATAAATGTGATGTTTATATTTCTGCAATTAGGCCTGTTATCAAAGCTATTCCAAGAAATTCTGATTCTCGCATTTTGAGTACAAGTAAAGAATCAATTTTTAAAGAAATTCGTTTATTCTTAAGATCAGAATGTCAATCAAACTGGAGGGATAAGTTCTGCCAAGAAATATTCAAAGAATTGATCGATACTGGTAAAGAAGATAACATGTCAGCAACGAATCGTAAAGCTCTGTTCAAAATTGCTGCTGAAATGAAAAGAAGTTAATTAGCGACAATCCAATTTAACTGTGTAAAACTCTTGTAAAGTTTAAGAAAACTGTCCATCGATTGTTTCTCCATTCGATACATTTTCAATACTGTCCAAAAATCGACCTCTGAACTCGACGAGAATTCTGGATGATATTCTCCAAACCTGAACGAGAATCATATTTGTATACACATGGTTGTAATATGAACAATTTCCAATTATTTGATTGTTAATAAATACTATGGACAACGAGTATATAACGAGAGTTATAATCGTTTCGAGTTGAAAAAATAAATCTTCATGACAATAATCGAACCAGTAGCTTGATGAAGTTAATTCACATTTCTAAATTAAGCATTTTCCATGTTTATATTGGCAATTTCTCATTTAGTGGAAATTCAGTGTTCTGATTGCTGAAAACAATTTGATTAATCTAATCATGAGCTACTTAATTTCTTGTGTTACTTTAATTGTCTTGACAATTATTGTTAATCATTTATTTGAACAAAATGTTTGTTTTTTCATTCATTAACCATAAACGTTTAGTGGCTCATTTAAAATCTAATTAAATTGAGAATGACAATCGATGATGATTGTGCTCATGGGAAATGATGAAAACGATGATGATTGAAAATGATGATCACTCATCATGAAGAAGAGAGAGAGGAAAAAGATGAATGATGATCAAAGTCGTTTGTAGGGATAATCCATCGTCTTTGTTTCTTTCTTAATCTCTCTTGATACTCTAACCACTAGAAGAAGAGACAAAATCCCTTTCGCTTTAACAGAAGCTTAAGATAAACTAAACGATTGAAGAAAATGAGTCTCATGAGAATTAACTGTTAACCTTAACTAATACAATTAAGTGAATTGAATATTCTTCGACAATTAACAAGATAAACGAGACAATTAATCGATTAACGCGTTGACGTAAATAAATCGTAACCAAAGTTTCAAATAAAAAGTTTTCATTTCATTCATTAGATTTTAGTTTTGATTCTGTTGAGAAATTTTCAGTTTCAATTTCAGTCATTTGTTGATCATTTGAATTGTGACAATTGATTGTTGATAATTAGAGATTTAATTTTACCGAAATCATTTGAATAGATTGAATTGTGTTTTTGAACATTTTTTAATTCCTCTTTTGTGTTGGTTGTTACAATTTAGTGTATCGATTTCAATGTTTCCACTGAAAAGATAAAGTCATTGGTTTGTGTTTGTCTTTTTTTCCCTGTTACTTGTTGATTGGCACCTTCGCTTTAAACACAAGATTAAGATTAAGATCTGATTCAGATTAAAGTTAATTATATGTTTACATTTAAACGATTCTTTATTGTTATAGTCAAAACAATCAAATCAAATCGAAACAAACTCTCTCTCTCTCTCTCTCTCTCTCTCTTTCTTTCTTTCTTACTCTCTATCCACAGGTAACTACAGAAAAAAGTAAACAAAAGGTAAGCAACAAACTCGAACCAGATTAAGGGAAAAACACCCAACAGAGTAAAAGATAATCTTGTAAAATTATTGTCACATTTAACTCTTACCTTTACCTTTTTACCTTTTCTACTTTTCTTTCAAACGAAATATGAAACTACATAGAAAATGATTTTCCATTGAGTTTAATCACTTGACCACAAGAACAATTAAGATAATGATAAATATCTTGTTCTCAACTGACAAGTAATTAACTTTCATTCATTTCATCTTAAATAATAATAATAATCGTAGTAATTACAATTTAAATTGTCATCACGATTTCACATTTATTATTGATCAAGTTTCAATTTTTCAATTTCATCAATGAATTTTAATGTTGATTCAATTCAAACTCATCCACTTATCACAACCTCACTAATTACAACAAATCAATAACCATTAAGATCGGCTACTTTTAGGTATCAATTTAAATTCACAACAATTAACACTAATCATTATAATGTTATCATTGATTTTGGTCTCGGCTTTTTACCTGATTACAAGTAAAGGGTTAGCCTTACCTTTAAGTTTGGATGTTAATTATCAGGTAGAAACAAAAAGTGGGTGGTAAACATGATTATCACCTTTACCTTTTTCCAATAGTAATTAAGTTAATTACAAAGACGAAATTGTAATAACACAAATACAATTAAAAATCACAAATTTCTTAATGTAATAACGTTTTAATTTTGATCAAGCTCAATTTCCTAGTTAACATGTTTACAATGAATTTAATCATTTACAACGTTGATCATTGTTAACTAAATTGTAACAATAAAAATATTTTATGTCTTAATAGTAACAAGACAATCAAATGATAATTAAATTTGATGAACAACAAATTTACTTGCCAGGAAACAATTAATTTTTCAATTGAAACATTGAATCAAACTTAATTGATTGTTTACAGTTTAGTCAGTTAACAATTTAAAATTAACAACAAAAGCTTGGAAAGCCAACTAAATTAATGATCAATTAAACTGTTTTCAACGCATTTAATTGCTGCAGTTAAATTAACAATTAAGAGGTTGGGTCAAGGTGTTTAGAGCAATAATCATAATAAAAGTAAGTAGCCAAAAGTTAACTAAAAGGTAACTAATGATGAGCTTAATTTAATTGTTAGACCAACATTTTATTACCACTATCACTTTAAGAGTGAAAAGCAACTTAATTGTGATGAAAATTAAATGAGTCGATTGTAAAATTTAATGTATTAATAATAGCAATCAACAATTAAGCATCAAAGGTTAATTACAAGAGGACAATCAAATAGCAAATCTCAGGTTAATCAAGGGTAAACAATTAAAGGTAATAAAAATACAAAACAGATTGTAAAAAGTTCATTGTTAAAATTGAACATTTTGTGTTGTGTCCACTATTTAGATGACCATTGATGCCTCTATTTAGTTATAAAGTTATAACAATTAACTTTTTAAAAGTTATCACAATGAAGAGGATGACGATGATAATGATAATGAACAAGGTGAAAAAGGTTTAAATTGTAATGAAACGAAAGTCTAAAGGTGGAAAAACAAAGTGACCAATGGTCAGTGAGAGAGACTTTCTATCTTTACAACCTTCATTAGCTTTAATAGTTTTGATCATTGGTCAAATGGTCACTTTTGTCAAGTTGATTAGCATCAGGTAATCATGTTGATTTTGTTGCTGATAAAAATAAATGTTAACTTATTGATTTCTCATGAAAAACTATTATTATTTATTGAACTTTTCTCAATATTACATTTTGATTTCATGGTAACAATGAATGATGAACATTTTGAAAATGATTTTCATGGTAATCATCATGAACAAAATATTATTTTCATCATTAACTGTTTATTCAATAGAAATGAGAGAATATGAAAATTCAATATGAATATTATACCATCATGGGAATCGTGATGAGCTTTTTATAACACATCATTTGTTATCTTCAATTTCAATGAATTCTGGTTACA